TATTAATTTTTTATAAAGTTTAATGGGTGTATTTTCTGGTTTACTTCAAATAAAAAATGATCTGATACTCTTATAATCAACTGTATTCTTTTTCCAAAGCCGCCTGACATATTAGACACTGTTTTATCAAGGTGACAAAAAATAAACTGCTGGCCACTCGAACTTACACATAGAGATTTTTAGGCAAAATTTGAAGTTCAATATTTTCAACAGGAATGCAAATTTTTGAACTCGGCTTGCAGATTTTAAGAGCTATTTTTTTCGGATTAAGCTTCATGACGTATATTTATCGTAGGACCATAGGTTTATTATATACAGGGTGATCAATGAAGTCATGCTAAAAATCAAAGAGTTTGTATAAGTGAAATTTCGGCATTTTAAAAAATTTGCTACCCAAATTTTATGTTTAGTAATGTGTACAAGGCTTAAGGGCCTTAATTCAAAAACTGACAAAAATATCTAGAGATATTGATGTTACCTTAGTAACGAACCATATTGCAACGACCAAAAAAATTTTTTGCGGAAATTTCACTCATACAAACTATGATCCTACGATAAATATGCGTCATGCAGCTTAATTCGAAAAAAACTAGCTCTTAAAATGTGCAAGCCGCGTTCAAAAATTTGCATTCCTATTAAAAATATTGAACTTTAAATTTTGCCTAAAAATCTCTATGTGTAAGTTCGAGTGGCCAGCAGTTTATATTACTGACGTTAAAAAATGTCAAATAATTTATGTGTAGATCAAGAACGAACACACTCAAATTTATTAATCAACAATGTAAACAAGTATTAAAAGTAATTTTTCAAAATCGTGCAGATGCCATCACCACATCTTGACTAAATTTATATGGGACCACCCCTAATAAAAAAGAATCATTAATATCGGACACCGTGTTAAAGAATTATCGCTGAACATACATAAAAAAAAATAAACCGACGAATTGAGAACCTCCTCCTTTTTTTGAAGTCGGTTAAAAAAGGCATTTTTTTCGGCAGTTTCTGGAAAATATGTACATTTGGCAACTTTGTCAATAAAAACTTGAAACAAATGTAAGAAGTTTAGCGAAAACTACACGTCGATATATTTTTCCATTCTTGAGTTATACGCTGTTAAAATGTGCTCCTTTATAATGGTATACCCTGTATATTATTACCTCATGCTCTACCACTTACTGACTTTCAACTGTGGCATGCACTAACCATGATGTCCCATTAGTGCATAATTGTTCAATACTTCAATTTGTGTTATAGACAAGTTGAAATAAAAGTTGTGTGAATTCATAAAATATTTTTAGAAATACAGGGTGTTGCGTATTTGCATGGCAAATAAAAATTAATAATTTTTAAATAGAATACCCTGTATTTTATTATATTTTTTAGAATGTTTTTAAAAAACATTACAGGGTGACCAAGCAATTGATTTTTTTGTGAAATTAGAGAATAATGCCGACCCCAACTTAAATTATCATAATTTAGGCAGGTTTACATTGATTTCAAAATTGTTTAATACACAGATTTATACTAAGCTAACGAATAGTGGTGATAGAACTGCTTTATTTTATACAGAGTGTTTCCAAAACATATCTTAAATATGGCTAATTTTAAGTTCAATTTTCTCAATTTTTTTAAATGCATATTAAATAGCATAAAATGCCTATCCAAATACCAACATGTTAGTCAATAACATCAGATCGTAATTGATCGATAGCCGTTTTATTATTGGAAATATAAAAGTTGTACGACCGGATTTAACAATTATTCTTAAATATATATGGTGGTCCATAAACAAAGGGCAGACCAAACCTATACTTTTTTAAAGCAAAACACTGCACGTTTGTACATATTTAAGGGTTTTCACATCGTCAAACAATTTTTATTGACTTCATTCATTTACTATGTTGTATATAGGGTGTGTCAAAACGCGAGGTTACAATTGGAATCGACCCAACCAAAATAAAAATCAAACTGCAGACTGATCTTTTTAAACACAAAAATATGTCCCGAAACTTGTCGCTTCGAGCAGGGAATGATTAATACTTATGTAAACGTTTTTATTGATAATTATTACTCACACTACTTAAGGGTGCAGTCAACGTCTTCTGTTTTACTGATGAAAAATATTTTTTCTTCGCCAATAACATTAGTATATATGGTACACGATTTACTCAATTTTTTAAATGGAATACCCTATATTAATTAATTGGAGTATAACATACAAGGTATTCCATTTAAAAAAATTTGAAAATTGTAAACTCGCATTTTCGCACACCCTGTATACAACATAGCAAATGAATAAAGTGTAATAAAATTGTTTAAAGATGTGAAAACAATCAAATATGTACCTGCAGTGTGTTTAGCCTTAAAAATGTTTAGGTTTGGTTAGCCCCTCGTTTATAAACCATCCTGTATATTTAAGAATAATTGTTAAATATGGTCTTACAACTTTTATATTAATTTTTCGTATTTCCTATAATAAAACAGCTATTGATCAATTACGCACATAAATTTATGAAGAATTTTATGCTAAAATAATATACAGGGTGTTGCATTTAAAAAAAAATGAGTAAATTGAACTCAAAATTAGCCACATTTAAGACATGTTTCAAAACACTGCATATAAAATAATCCAGCTCTAGCACCACTTTAACAATCAAACAATTTTGAAATTATTGTAAACCTACCTAAATTATGATAATTTAATTTGGGGTTTGCATCATTCTCTAATTTCATAAAATAATTAATTACTTGGCAACTATGTAATATTAAAATAAAAATCTAGGGTTGAATACAGGGTGTTATAAATACATTTTTACTTACCAGGCAAAATGCAACAACCTGTATATCCAAAAATATTTTTAAAATAAGTATTTTTTAAATCCATATAACTTTTATTTACAACTTGTTTATGTGTCTAACACAAATTGAAATATTGAACAATTACTCCATAATGGTACACCCTGTAGTGTAGAGTAATATTACTGTATTCATTCAGTATATTATTTACACTATGATAAAAAAGACAAATGTTAAATAATTTGAAGTCAAACTCCAATATATAAATTTAACCAATTTAACATTTTTTTTTTTTTTTTCTAAAACAACTAATTCATATTTTTAGGCTAATTTTACGCCCTTGAAATATAAAACTTTTCGAAAAAAATTGGTATTTAAAAAATATGGAAGCCTTGAGATCACCTCGGTTTTTTAAAGCATATTTCTAAAAACAACATCACATTTTTATGCTAATTTTAGGCTCTTAAAATATTATAAAACTTTTTAAATAAATTGCTATTTTTAAATAATAAAGGGTGCTTTGCTAGCTTCGAACGAAGCTAGTAAAGTACCATGTTTTTAAGTTTATTAAGTTTTTTTTTGTAAAAAACGAGCATAAAATTTTTGAATGGAATATAAAAATATGGCATAGTTTTCAACCCAAAATTCCCTAGTATAGGACGATATTTGTAATTTAAAATATCTTGGGCGAAAATATTTAGTTATTTAATCAATGTCAGGAAATACTAGACATTAATTCAATAAACGATTTAATAACTTTAAATTGAAAGGTAAAATTTAGAACAAAATAAAATTAGAGAGAAATAAGTATTAAATGATCTAAAACAATAAAACGTAAATAAAATAAAAGTAAAATAAAATAGATAAAATTCTTAATTAATTTAGTTATTTAATCAATGTCAGGAAATACTAGACATTAATTCAATAAACGATTTAATAACTTTAAATTGAAAGGTAAAATTTAGAACAAAATAAAATTAGGGAGAAATAAGTATTAAATGATCTAAAACAATAAAACGTAAATAAAATAAAAGTAAAATAAAATAGATAAAATTCTTAATTAATGCACGTATGATATGTCGTGCCTGAAATAAAAGAAAAACAAGTATGAGCAATCAAGTTTACCAAAAGGAGTTTTATATTAAAGAAATTCATGAAAAGGTGATATCCATAAACAAAACACTTATTATCCTTTTAACAAGATAATTATATTGATAACTCTTTATGTCAAAATATTGATTATAACAAAAATATAATTGACACAACTTTAAACTTTCCATAATTGACAAAAAGTTATATTCTCAATTCTGTTGGCACTGACCGCAATTCCCAAACATCGATCGATATATAATACAAGCCATTACTAGCACACTGACCGCAATTTCACTAGCCCTCACCAACCATGGTGCAACGACTCTGGAAAACTGACCACAGAAATCCCAAAATAAACGCATACAAACGAAAACAAAATATAAGTAAATAGTCAAATAAGTTATAATTGTTTAATATAACCCCGTTAGTTTAGGATATAAGGTTTTCTCAATACTTAACAAAATATCTTTACGTGAGAATTGACAAATTAACTATAAAAGGTTGATGGATAATAATTGGGTAATATAATTTGCAAAATAACTTGATTATAAATTAAAACAAAATTAATTGATAAACCATAATTACTCAGTGAACAGCCGCCACTCACAAAAATTATAATTATTCACTATTATTGGAACGAACTTTAATTTTGTTCCGCAGAGTAACTAAACCAAATTTAAAAGGATCTGTATTTTATGCCTGCTTGATATTTTACTCTTAGTTCCCATATTCGCAATCCGATACCTCCGTATCTTAATAGTGTTAACCTAAACATAGGCTGTAACTGTTTTGGAAGACAAATATTTAGTACGTTTAAAAACTGAGTGTTTTGTAAAATAAAACTTATTACATTTGCACAGAAAATAAAATCATTCTTACACTAGGTGCTTTACTACCTTCTTTGGTATATTTTATTAAATAAATTACAAAAATACATCCTATGGTTTACTGCTTACATTTTTTAAGAACGCACTTTCTTCAAATGAACTATACACACTGCACATAGGGTGATATTGATCCATGTACAGAATAAATTATTAATCTTTAGACTAGGGATGAAACATAATCAGTCTGTTGATATTCCGAATACATTCTTAATTTGTTCTTTCCAGGATCCAGTTCCTGTTCAAACCAAGACCAGGCGAGAACCATCGTCCTCACGGTTTCTACCGTTCCTTGTACCCCAAAATAATCCGAGACATCGACAGCATCGAATCGAATTGGAGGAACGGCAAGCACATTCTCCAACGCATCAATTGCAGATCAGAGAACAGTAAAGGAGTGTACTGTCTGCAATACGATGATCAGAAGATCGTGTCCGGTTTGAGGGACAATACCATAAAGATATGGGATAGGAGTACCTTGCAGTGTACTAAGGTGCTGATTGGTCATACCGGGAGCGTGTTGTGTTTGCAGTACGATGATAAGGTAAGTTTTTCTTGTATAAATTTATGAGCTAAAATTAATTAGTTATTCTGCTATAGATATTATATTAATACCATTTGCGGTACGTAGAGAAATAACATTTCGTTTTTCATAGGCTGTCGCAAAACATTCACTCGAACTGTAAATTGCTGAATTCCGTTTATAAATAAATGTAATCATTAAATCTGTAATTTTTCAATATAATCAAAAGAAAAAATAGGACATGCATTATTCATCATCACTTGAATACATAACTTACGAAACAATCCAGTTTATGAGCTTATTCAATGATAATTTTAATTATATAATTACATTTATTGGAATTTTTGTAATGAGCAAGTATACTTTGTTGAACGAGATAGGTACGTGATAAAATAATTTATTGCTCAGGCGCCTATCTAGGAAATTGTCGATGAAAACTTAAATAAAATACCTATCAGTGTCTTTAAATCATTTGTAAACGTACATTTTATACGCTCTATACATGGTGATTTTACGACAAAATTGAATTTTTAGGAAGGTTATTTCCAGTACTGAATCGATTTGTTAAGGGCCTCTTTTAAATAAACCACTAGCAGTAGCATAGACCAGTGTTTCCCAAACTTATCTAAAGCGCGACTCCGTTTTTGTTAAAAAAAATTGTTCACGACCCCTTATTTCCCTATACTCCCACCCAAACCAAAATAGCGTGCCTAATTTACAAGTAACTGATAGTTTCTTAAATATTCTCTTACTTTACTGTTTAAGTTTAAATTAAATACATGAAAAAATTTCAACAGTTACTTTAATAATTGCGATCTGTCCTACTAGTAACTAGTAGTACTTCTGCTAGACAAGCATTTACAATAAAAATAAATAATAAAAAGTCGACTGCATATTGTACACCGCGACATCTTTGTGTCTACATCGCAATACATTTCCATGATATTTGCGAAAGCGCTACTTCTTACTTCGCTACCAGATGACACTCTGGAACGTTCTCGTAGCTTCGTTTTGGCTTTATCTAAGCGGCGAGACCTTAGTTCCCAACCCAACAACACAAACCAACAGACCGTTGTGGCGAAGGCAGTATTGAGTAAATATTTTGTGACACGTATTCTCGTCTAAGATAAATTACAAATTATGGATACTTTTTTTAAAAAGAAGTGCAGAACCATCTACGTCTGAAAGTGGCAGTAATAAAGACATAATAGCAGATAAAGAAAACATCAATTTGTTATTAGAGAGTGATCGCCACTTGTTACTTTACGAATACGATAATCTTATTTATTACCGTATTCAAAATAAGGTCCAAACAAAAAATGTCATGCTTTACGGTAACACTGATTACCGAGCTGAATCCAATAGACGTTTGATTGAAGCAGTTTAAAGTACATATGAATTTAAGAGTATTTTGTGAAAGCATAATTCGAAAACTCAAGTCATAATAATCTTATTAAAATTAATATCCTTAGATCGAGAGTCTTTTATCTTAACCATTTCAATAAATATATTGAGATGGTGTCTCACAAAAGAAAATTTTTTTCCTGTTTCTTGTTTTCTTACATAACTTTTTATTTCCCATCGATTAGGACCTTTAAACGGATTCTGAGTCAATAATTCTCTCACCAGGACTAAATAATTTTTCGATGTAAATTATAAAAGAGTTTTATTATACAAATTATTCAAAAACCTTTTACCTCAAAAATAATTCTATTTGATGCAAGAAACAGATTCAATCTTCATATGATTCGAATGACATTTGGGGAATAGCCTCGTTCATATAGGAGTAAGTTACCTTATTTCAATTCAGGCGTCTAATATCAATTTTAGCAAAGTCCACTTTTCCAAATTTTCCACAACAAAAACTATTTAAAAAATATTAGGACGTTACATAAAATTAGTGTTTTGGCTTTTTAAGTGTGTAAATAAATTATTTTATGTAAATTGCAAACAAAATCGCCATAGGATTTTGAATATTATTTTAGATTGGCTATATATATTGGAGATTGCTGTATTTGATATTTAAGGTTGGAGTTTGCTATATATGATTTGTTCATGAAATGAGATTGCTGTTTATGATAGCAAACGGGGTGTGAAAACATTCAGGACGGTATACCTCTATGGAGAGGCTCATGGCATTTAGGCAAAATTCTGATTGCACAAAGGAAGCAATTCGAATAATAACAAAAGCTAATTTCAGAAATAGTTGTCCACTTTTTAAAAAATTAGGAATTCTAACATGTGTAAATCAGTATATCTATGAATGTTTAATTTATGCAAAAAGGAATATCAACAACTTTTGCAACGCCTATGTAACAAGAAATATGCAAGTAAGATTGCCATTTTTTAGATTAACAAGGAATCGCAATTCTTTCCAATGTTAAGTTGTATAACCTACTTCCCCTTGAATGGCCTACTAAATATGATAAACCTTTTCTGAAAGATAATGTTTTTTTGTAATATTAATGAGTTTAATTTACATTTTGATTTGACTTATATACTGTAATGAAATTTTATGAGTTTTAATTTGTTCTTTAGTCCATATGTATTGTAGAGTTGTATTACTTATTGCAGTGAAATTGTAAATGTTTGTTTATGTTAATATATAATATAATAAATATTAATGTTTTTGACGAGTGTATACAAATGTAAAATTTGTCTTAACACAATAAATGGTAACTAGCTAACTAACTAAGAAGAAAAACAGACTTTACCGTTATTTCCAATAAACCACAATGTGTTATTTGTGGAGAAGTCTTGTCAAAAGAAAACAAAGTTACTTCGACATTTAAATAGCAATCATCCAGATAAAAAAGAAAAACCCATAGAATTTTTTGAAAGAAAGCTGAACGTCCTTCACATACAGCAAGATACTCATTTATTGACAACCACTACTAATGAAAAAGCCTTATTATCGAGTTATAAAGTTACTTATCGCGATGCCAAAACTACTAACTCGCACACAATTGCTGAAGGTCTGATTTTGCCAGCAGCTGTTGAAATGGTACTCATAATGTTTGGTGAAAAAAAAGCTACCCAGTTAAAAACAATACCTCTGTCAAATAAATACTATCCAAAGATGAATTAGTCATATGACATAAGATATTCAAGCGCAAGTTGTGGAAAATCTTAATAAATGCACATATATCTAACAGTGCCTAATTTATTACGTTTGTAAGATATGATACAAATAATGGCATTCAAGAAGATATTTTATTTTGTTCCCCATTCAAGACCAATATCACTGGAAAATGGTTATTCGACACTTGCACAAGTAAATATGATATTGACTGGGGAAAATGTATTGCTATATCATGCACAGCTAAAGCTATGACAGGCCATCAATCTGGTCTTGTCGTCAGATTACAAGAAATAATGCCTAATGCCACATGTAGACTTTGTTTATTACATCTATAAGCTCTTGTGGAAAAAGCTTTACCTCCTGAAATGGAATGTATTATGAAAACCATCATTAAAGTTGTAAATCATATTAAAGGAAAAGCTTTGCAGACCCGTATCTTTCGAAAAATCTACAAAGACATGGGTGGTTTATTTGAAAATATTTATCACACCGAAGTAAGTGGGCTTTTAAGGGGCAACGTCTTAAAAAGAGTGTTTCACTTAAGAGCAAAGCTTTAAATGTATTTGAAACATGAGAAGTCCCCATATAAAAATCAATTTTCCGATCCCATTTGGCTTCTGAAACTAGGTGTCCTTTGTGATATTTTCGAATAATTAAATATTTTGAACAGTAATTTGCAAGGTTGCAACATTAAAATAATTTCAGCAAGATAAAATTAAGGGTTTAAGAAAAATCGATTTATGGTCGACTTCACTTGGTAAAAAGCATCGATTCATTCCAATTATGGAAGATGTATCCAATTTTGCAGGCATGCAAGTTACTTTGCTCAATTTAAAACAACAGCTATGTGATTATTTCTCCGAAGAAATTCAAAACAGTTACGACAGTTACAGATGGATACTGAATCCGGTTTTAGCCGATTCAACTTGTTGAAATACCAATAAACATGCAAGGAAAACTTATTGAAATATCAAGTGATGGAATGTTGAATCTCCAATTTTTTTCTAAGAACCCGGATGAATTTTGGACCAAATAATGCAGGAATACCCTTAGGTGGCGAATGAAGCTGTAAACTGTTTGGTTCCATTTGTAACATCATATTTATGTGACTTAAGTTTCTCGACTATGACTCCCATTAAAATAAAAGTGAGAACTCGTCTGGTGCTTGAAAACGATATAATTGTGTGTGTGTGTCTCAAATACACAGCCTAGATTAAGTACGTAACAATACTTTTTGGTCATATAACTGTCTAATGTCAAAAATTTTGCTCTCTTGGAACATATTTTCGGTGGATTATGTGATCTCTTTACCATAAATTATTTTTAAATCCCATTTTTGTATTTTGTTCAGGCAATCTAAAAGACAGTCATTTCTACCTCCCTATCCAATAATTCAATAAATGATTTGTGTCTGAATTAATGAAAAATATATTGTTTTTAAATGTTATATATCCAAAAAACTTTTTAGGTACCTACTTTATATCATTGCCATAAGACCCAATTTCTTGATGGAACCCAGTCATCGCTCCATTTGGATGGTTTTCCTATAAAAGAGTGCCGTTTTAAATAAAATTCAACATAATAAAGTTGCTATAGTTTATCCGATACATTCGGATATAATTAAATTTTGTCTCTGTGAAATCTCTCCTGATGACATTGTACCCATTTACGCAGTTTTCTGTTTTAGAGTTGGGTATAAAACACATGACTACTTTGCAGACACTGTGATAAAACCAAAATATAAATAAACAACATAACCTCAAAAATAATAGTAAATGTTTTTACCTTGGAGCTTGGAGACGTGTTTCGTTAACAATCATTGAATTGACACACATACTTCCGACTTATTAAAGTCGCAGTTTTATTTAAACACGGTTTTTAAATAAACACAATTAAAATTATCTTATGGGAATTTTTAGAGTTGACAGCTTGATTGCGATATAACAAGTGAATGCACTTTGAGTCGTATTTTGATTTATTTGAAGTTAATAATTTTATATTTAAAGATTGACGGAATGAAAATTTTTTGTCATTTAAATCACGCAATTCAAAAAAATGTATTTACTCTTACCAAAACTGACTAGCTCGAGTTTGACATATGACTTAAAAGTGTTAATGCAAAAGTGCACACACTTTTAGTATCCTCATTATTCTATATCAATGATTGAATAGATTCGTATGCGCCGCCCTACTTTGTGACGTTGATTATGTGCGATGAACAAAATAAGGCGATTTAAGTGATTTTAAACAGGCACATTGTTTCACGGATCTGTTGACATGTTGACCTCTCTTTTTAACTACAGGCTTTCGCGAAAACATCGCGCTACCTCGTACTCACTCAGAATAGTGCGCCACGGAGACGTTAGCCAGAGCGCAGTGGCGTACTCAAAAATAGATATTAACACGTATGAAAACAATAAAATTATTTAAATTGAATTTATAGCTTTATGTTATTTATTTTAAAATAATGTGTTGGGTGTTTACTGCACAAATGAACCAATGGAGAAACCGCCCTGTTTAATGGATTATGCTGTAAAGGATTAAAATGCAATACTAACATAAACTAGAAAGGTGGGCGTATCGAGAAAATTGCTGTTAAAGATTAACTGTATGTATGTTTACAATGAGAAACAAACTAAAACGTAATTTACTATGACTTAAATTTTGAATATAGTACATTATGTAGCGTTGTTCAATTTGAATTTTATAAGTATTGTATTGATGGTAGGAAATTTATAAAATTCTAGAATTAACATGTTTATTAGTTATTACTTCCATTTTTAAAAGTGAAGAGCACAGAGGAAAAATGATGAGGGTCACAAAAACTACTTTTATTAGAATAAGTAAAATAAAGAGACTAATCGTTTTACTCTCCATACCAGCAGAAAAATTGTGTCTAAAACTACAAGATGGCGGTGTTACTTCAATTTTAACAAAAATGGACTCTACACTCTTCAAGTACTAAGATGTGCATGTAGAATTAATTCAATCTACATAATATTTTGTGGTTTTTCCTTCTTTTAATTTACTTTATTTGTTCGTAGGTGATAATTAGTGGATCTAGCGATGCTACAGTAAGGGTGTGGAATGTGAACACAGGTGAAATGGTAAATACGTTGATACATCATTGTGAAGCCGTCCTCCATCTTAGGTTCAATAATGGGATGATGGTTACTTGTTCTAAGGTAAACATATTTTTTTCAATTGACGATATTGTTGAATGGCTTTTTAAGGGATTGATTGTTTTTTTTTACTCCAGGACCGTTCGATTGCCGTTTGGGACATGACGTCGCAAACGGAAATAACATTGCGTAGGGTGCTGGTGGGTCACAGGGCGGCAGTGAACGTTGTCGACTTCGACGAGAAGTACATAGTGTCCGCGTCCGGCGACCGGACTATAAAAGTGTGGAACACATCCAATTGTGAATTCGTGCGAACTTTAAATGGACATAAACGGGGCATCGCCTGTTTGCAATATAGGGATAGGTTAGTGGTTAGCGGCAGTTCTGACAATACCATAAGGTGAGTGTGTTCGTTTCACGAATTTATTTTACTTCTTTTAAATATAGAACCTCTCCTGTCTAAATGAAAACATCCGATTCTAGAGATGATTTTCTAATGATTGTTCTAAAATTGAAGACTTTTTTACAAAAACGACACATGTCAAAAATAAGCTTTTTTCAGGAAACACAAAAATTTCAGTCCTAATAAGACCTTTTGAAATGCTCTACATTTGACAGTGAATCTCTTTTTGTGTGTTACTTATTTAAAAAATAACAATTTGTGCCAGTAAATACCACAATTGGCCACTAATTATTGCAGTTATTTCAATTTGGCATATTTGGACATGTGTTTTATTTGAAAGAATGTTTTCCATTTTGGACTACTGCATCATGAAATTGGCCAATTTTTTTCTAAAAGAAAAGAAAATCCCTAGTCTTAACCACAAATATAGTTGAGGTGTTTCAACTTCCCTAAAATTCCATATAAAAACAAAAGACGATATGGCATCAAACACAACGTAGTTCCAAAAAATCCATCAGAGGTCGTTATAAGGTGAGGTACCCATTTGACCATTATAAGATCTAGATAAAGTATATTTTATCATCAACATGTATTCAACTTCAAGATCTGGCCATCAGATGATTGGTCAATCATTTGACAGGTCATTATACTAATGTCAAGGAGCATGATATATATTATATTTACGAACAAATATAATTGTATATTAATAATAATTTTGTAATATTATTTATTTCTGTTAGTTTAAAATAATGCTTCTTTCATCTTTGTTGAGGTCTAGTTATTGTTGATCTTAGATATGAATGATGTACCTGGATGTACTGATGTCAAATTTTAATTTAGATATCAAAAGTAGAAGTGGACGATGTAGAAATAAAATAATAAATACTATAGTAATTGATGTTATAAGCTTTTATATTATTTTGTAGATAAAGAAAAGAAACGAATAAAGATAATTTCAATTTTTTAAATGTGTACCTATGTGTGTGCATTTTATTAGAATTAGCTGTTGGGCTGTTAAGACATCGTCTGTATATTATAAATGTAAACAAGAATGGAATGATTGATAATAATTTGTTCTTTTTTAACATTTATTTATTTATTTATTTATTGGGTCAGAGCCCATTAAAACAATACAATTCCAGAGAATACAAATCACATTCATTAATTAGTAATAAAATCCTAAATAATAATAATAAATTAATTTAAATACACAAATGGTTAGAAAAATCTGATGAAGAAGTAATCCATTCTACATTTAGTCTATTAGCAGATCTTGTCACTCTAGGAATAAAAGAGTGAGAACCATAATTTGTTCTATGGAAAGGTTGGGAGAATGTATTACTAGTTACTCTAGAGGGTACAGAAAATCCAATTTGGGATAACAAGTAGGGACAATCGGCAGATGAGTTAATAATGATAAACAATATTTTAAGATCCCTTTGGTTTCTTCTGCTTAGAAGGCTCTCAAGATGACAAAGTGTGTGTAATTCGTCATAATTGTATCTGAAGTTGACCGGGACGATACCCGATTTAAATGCAACAATGCATAAAAATTTTCTTTGAACCTGCTCTATAATAGGTCTTTTCCTTTGCATCGAAAGTGTAGCACTGAGCTACACCACTTCTGAAAATATCGTTCCATTTATACAAATTGTATGGATGGAACGGTATTTTTAGAAGTGGCGTAGCTCAGTGCTACACTTCCGATGCAAAGGAAAAGACCTATTATGAATTAGATATACATAAAAAGGATTCTATACAGAAGAAGCATATTCAATATAAGGTCAAACTAAGGCACAATAAAGAATATTTAGACATATCACATTATGAAAATCAGAAGTAGTTCTAAGGAAACTCAACATTCTTAATGCTTTATTAACTGAGGCCGTTATATGAGTTTGAAAAGAAAGAGTGGAATCTAATATCACACCCAAATATTTTACCTCTGTAATAGTGTTTATAATGCAAGCTCTTGGCGAATACTAATAAAATTTCCACAATTGAAAAGACCTACCTTTCCTTCGTTTTTCTTTATCAATTTTTGTGTAGTTACACCTACAAACCTTTGATTTATTTTGTAAATGATTAAAGTAGTATAAATTAATAAATCTATTGAAAACAATCCTCCGCATTTATATATAATAAAAAGTCTATTACAACACTTATTCATTTAGGGAATTAAAGTTTACAGATCATTTTTGTACCTACCCTTTTCATCAATTTGCCTTGTAAGAACCACATTGCAATTAGGAGATCCTCCATGTGAAATTGTTTAGGACTGGTAACAAAATAAGCATCCTGTATCTTTGGAATATGTTTATTAATTATCTAAAATGTGTAAACATAACATCAAAATGGCACTTAACACTTATTTTTTTCGAAATATATTTCAACAATATTTAAAATTTTGTAAGAAAGAATACACACTATTTTCCTTATTTAATTATTGTTGTCTTGTACACTAAAAATGATGAAAAATAGTAATGTTCTCACTTTGTTTTGATGAAATATATGGGTGGTTAATATTATAAGTATGTGGTATAGTATTTTCCTTCTCGTTTTCACTTTCCATTTCGTTTGTTACATAGAGTATGACTAGTAGACATTAATAAATTACCATATTTTTTTAAAAAAATTGGATACAGACGTATTTTTTACTTGATAAAGATAAAATTAACTAAATTTTTCTGTCACTTCGCAGTCATTATTTGTTTTCATTTGAGATACTTCGCCTTCTACCGACATCTGGTGTTTTTTATATACTATGCAGTTTTTGGTGCCATATTTTAAAAAGAGTGGAAACATCTGTAAAATGTAATTCATCGGGACCCTCGGTAATCCGACATGCCAATTATGAATTATTTTTTATTTTTGTTACATAATTTTGTTAATATTAAACCTTGTGTTGTTCAATTTACGAAGTTATATATCGTACAGTGTAGATTTTATCTGACCATTTTTATAATTGTTGAATTACAGGGTACTTTTTAATCAAAAAGTTCCGGACTACAAGAGGTTCTCTATCTATAATAGTCTGACAAATTTGATAATACCACTACCTTGAAAAACGCGGGTCAACTGTATTATACCAAGTTCGAAAGTTGCATAACTTTCTTCATTTTTTTTATAGTTTTGTACACTTTCACTTTAGGTAATCATTAACATTTTTCATCAGAATATTTAAATATTCAGTCTAGAATATTTGCATTGTCATAGCTTTCATAAAAATCTACATTAACTATATTTTTATTACGCATTATGGTATGACTAATGTTTTTCTTAGTTTTGTAAATTTTGAACTAATCTTAATATTTTTCATCGTAATTTTAAAAGAAACTTTCATTCTCCTAATTTTCTTAAAAAATATACATTATATTTTTATTACAGATTATGGGATAGCCAAAAGTTTTTCTAGTTTTGTAAACTTTTCATAGCAATTGTTGAATAGAATAAACAAGTTTATTATGTATTAAGAGATGGCCAATTTTATTCCTATTTTGTACACTTTTCTTCCACTCTTTTAACATTGTTCATCGAAAGTTTTAAATAATGGACGATTATCATTCGTTCAGATAACTTTCATGCAAATCTACATTATATTTTTATTACAGATTATGGGATATAGAATGCGGCGCTTGTCTGAGGGTACTCGAAGGTCACGAAGAATTAGTTAGGTGTATAAGGTTCGATTCCAAACGCATCGTCAGCGGCGCTTACGATGGCAAAATTAAAGTTTGGGATCTGCTGGCGGCGTTGGACCCCAGGGCGCCGACGAGTTCATTGTGTCTGCGAACGCTGGTGGTAAGTCAAAATTCGCAACAACTAAAACAATATGACGATCTAAAATCTTTATTTTGTTTTTTTTTTGCGTTAATTTTGTTTGTTTATACATTACTAAACTGGTTAAATAGGGAGTATTCAAACGTTTTGGAAGTATTTTTACATTCATCATGAGGAACTAAGCTTAATGTTTTTTTCCTCTGTTTATCTGTCTTACTATTTTATTATGACATCCTTCTCTAAAGAGATGTTTAGCCCTTTGAAACGCTTTTTTTATCTATTCTGTTACCCTGAGTGTTATTTGGGCTTCCACTTTGTCTCTTTTAATCAATGGAGAACTAAATGGAATTTAATTTTATAAACAGAAAACAGACCAATTTAAACGGATTTAGGTTATTTTTTTTTTAATAACTTATAGAAACTAAACAGAAAATAGCTGTCAAATTAGTTTTTTAGTTAAATTAGTAGCAAAATATTATTATATTGTGCTTTGAAATATATTATTTCATTAAAAAGATTTATTACAGAGGTTGATTAATATATTAATCTTTTTTAACATTCTATATAACTTGATTATTAAAAATAGATTACATTAATGACTAAGAAGATGCAATTTATAAAAACTAATAATAAATAACCTCGCAAAAGATTTTATAAATTTGACATAAATCAAATAAATGTCTATTTAACTCTAGTAACTCGAGATTTTTCTTTAAATGCTAATTAATGCCAAACAAATTCCATTGCATGTCATAAATATAAAATTTCTGTCATTCTACCTAATCACCGATAGACAATAAGGTAAAACCACTCCCATTTAAAAACCAAATAAAACGTTGATAAAATTGATCAAGGTTACGAGTAAAAATCCGCCAGGTTCGCTAGTGTATTTACGGCAACAATGTTGCCAATGGCGAAGATTTTACCTGATTTTCGGATATTATCACCCAACAAATTAACTGTCATGAGTCGGAAATTTAACTAAATTTGTACAAATTAAATCATAAATAAACCACGCCATTGACAGCTATAAAAACAGAACACAAAAGTTCCACGCTATTGACCGCTATAAAAATAGAACACAAAAAGTTGATAAAAAGTTTTAAGCATGCAATGGGTTTTATCTGCCTAAAATGCAGGAAATAAGTTTTTTTTTGGGACCAATTAGCCAGACCTTTTTTACATTTAAATTGTATTTATTTTGTAAATGTGTTGGGTTAAGGGTGGTTACTAAAACTGTAATTGTTAATTTTTTTTTTTATTGTTTTTGTGTTTGTTTTCCCAGTCCACAAGAAGCTCTTAAGGTGTTAAAAATGAAAAATGGGATAAAAATTCCAACTATTAAAATTTTTCCTGATCAAACAAAAGCGCAAAGAGAGTACTTCTTTAATGTCAAAAGGAAGCTGCAGGAATATTTAGATAACGGTGAAAACAAAACTATAAAATACATAAATAATATTCAAACAATTGTTGATAGCAATGCATCTATCCAAAACAAACAAAAAAAACTAGTAAATGGTCCTAATATATCTTTTAGAAGTGATATAATTTATATGAATGTACAGAGTTTTTTGGCACACCGCGATGAAGTTTTAGTAGAAATTTTTTGCTAACAACCATCTGTAGTTATATTAGGTGAAGCAAGATGTACAGATGATATCGAAGATGTTGAAATTGTAGTAGATGGATATGTATGTGTAAGATGTAATTCTTCAAATCGAGGAGGAGTACTTATTTATCTGCGGAACAACATTACATTTAGTGTGAAAAAGGAAGATATTCTTGTGCCAAATTATTGGTGTAAAATTGTTAACGTTAATTTTAATAAAACTAAATGGTTGATTGGTGGTTTTTACCATTCGCCCAGTTCCAGTGATGCGGTCTTTATAGATAAAATTGAAGAATGGTGTCATTATTTTTTATTGGGAAACATTAAAGCTTTAATTGTGGGTGATGTTAATATTGATTATTTTGTAGATAGTTTTTATAGCAAAAAGATAAAAAGTTTAATTCAGTCATATGGCATTGAACAACATGTAAATGATTATACCAGAATAAGTATGGACAGTTCGACATTAATCGATTATGTTTTATCGAATCAAAATATTTCTGTAAGTGTTCATCATTTTCCTAAAATAACAGATCGTTCGATTATAAGTATTAATTTTGAGGAAAATGTGGATTATGTGAATGAATTAAATTTTTTCTCTAGAAAATTAAGTGTAGATAAATATCATGAGATAAATTTAGAATTAATATCATGTGACTGGTTATTTGACTAAAATAATGTAAATGAAATTTTTAGTCAACTGGAAAGTAATTTAGTATAGTTTTAAACTGTGTTGCACCTATTACAGAGATACAGATAAAGAAAAATCATGTTCCATGGTATGATAAGGAGGTAAAAGTACAAGCCAGAGAGAGAGAGATAAAGTGTACAAAAAGTTTCAAAGAGCCTTAGGTCCAGATAAAAATGTATTGTGGAATGAATACAAAAATAATAGAAATATAGCTGTTAATTCATTGAAGTGCAAGAAAAAAGAGTTTTATGAACATAAAAATGATTCTAAGGAAATGTGGAAAACACTAAAAAAATTAATTAAAAGTAAAAATATGGAAATTAAATTTGACTCTGTTAGGTTTTCTGTTGATGGGTCTGTATCTTTCGCTAAAACGGAAGAAGAAGCAGCCAACAAATTAAATAATTTTTTTGTAAATAGTATATGTGAAATAACAAATTCAATACCTTCAACTGATGATTGGTCACCAAATTTTTTAAATGATATTCAATCAATATTAACTGATTTTAAATTAATTACATTAGATCAACTGAAAAAGCTGTTTTTTCGTTAAAAAATAAAGGAAGCTATGATAAGATATTGCTAAGTTTTTAAAGGAAACCTTTTATACAACTGGCTTTGCAGTGTTAAATTTAATAAACGCCTCACTAGAAACAGGAACATTTCCTGATAGACTAAAAGCAAGCAATATAGTTCCTGACCAAAAAATTGCAAACGATACAAATGCATCCAACTTGAGACCTATAAATATACTATTATATACACTATATACACTATTCACAACGCGGCTAATAGTATGAAATGCAAAATTTTTCAAAACATTTATGAGAGGTACAGATATGTAAAATATGTCAGAATTTCTAGAGGATATTCTCGGAATGCAGATATCAATTTTTCTCAACAATTCAGGAGAATCTATTAAACTGTTAACAATTTTGAAACCTAACATATAACAATAGTATTCACGTCTTTTCATTAGGCTTAAAAAGTGATATCTTTGAAGAAGATTTTGGTGTGGTACTCCGATTGGCGGATAAACACCCTCCTCCTTTAAGCACAGTAATTTTAAACACCGCCTTTGAACTGCTTTAATTTGATCCGTGTGAAGTTGGTAAAACGGACTCTAGACGCATACTCAAGCTTTGATCTTATAAGATAATAATATAACGTTTTTAATGTGGCTACATCTTTGAAATCCTGGTACAGCGAATTATAAAACCATACGTACGATACGCTGTTTTATCAATGTGACATATAAAGGTCAATCTGGGATCAAAAATTACCCCAATATCTGTAAAAGTATCTGGTTGCTGAAGTGAGACATTATTTGGTCGGATTTTAAAGTAAAAGACATAACTTTACATTTAATTGGGTTAAATTCAAGTTTATTATTACACCATTCAACCACTAGATTTAAGTTCATGTGAAGTTGTTATATATATGATATATAAGAGAAGATGTACTTTTCAACTGTACAAATAATATTACTAACTTATATTCAAATGTTATTGTTCAAATTTAATGATAGTTAAACTAAGATATTTAAGTTTTACTATAAAGTTAAATTTAGTTGTTTAAATTTTATTATAGTTCTTTATATAGTTAAATCATTTAAATTTTATTGTAAATACAATTTATGCTACTAACTATACAGTAATTTAATGTCAGATCAGCATTCTTCAATGCATCATTTTAAATTCTTAAATTTTGAAGTTTTGCACGAGCTGACAAGTGACAACTGACTCAGAACTGTCATTTCAATACGAGCGCCATCCCGTTAATTGGAGTGGCACTAAATTAGCGTCCTCATGTTTTTCCATTTGAGTTACCAGCTCCTGGCTATAGGCAAGACAGGTTCTTGGTGATTTTTTTTGAGGTTTGAAGAAGCAAGTCATCTTTTAATTGTCGTTGGGGGAAAATATCCTAATTTATGTGACCATCGAGTCTTCCCTTGTAGGGGTTCTTTAGATTTTCCTCAAATATAGTTCTGGAAGTACAAGTTTTTAGATTTTGGGAAAGGTAATTTTGGATATAAATTTCCATTGTGTAGTGATTACCCAATTTCACACCTTCTTAAGAGGTTTTTGTCGACATCAAATTGAAGGTCCATCAGCATTTGAGTTTTGTTGTCTTGAAGTTTATTCTTCAAGTATAGTTGCTCCTGGAAAATTACCATCAGAACCTTTTATGAATGAGAGTTCAACTGTGAAGACACAGTACACTAGTTTACCAGAACACTGGTCCATATATTCATGGTCCACTAGTTTATTAGCCACCTGGTTTACTTTTTCACTGATTTTACATAGATGTTACTTTATCTGGATGGGAAGATGGTGATGGCGAGATTATGTTATTGGCGACACCCTACCTTCAGATTTTTTGTATTGAGAATTTCATGTGCACTATGCCTGCTAATTTGTTAAACTAAACATTCTACTTTTTTTTAAAGAATGTGCCTAGGGTATTTTCAAGTTTATACTTTTTCATGCATGAAGTTTTAGAGGGTGTTTCTTTAATAACTTATGTGTTTTCAAAATTCAATTATTTACGCACTAAATGATCTGATTATTTACCAAATACAATAAATTATTTCAAAATTTAGTTAATTAAGCACTTATTGTCTTGATCTGAGTATTGACCATAAATACTTCATGTATGTTGTAGGGGCTACGGTCAACATTTCACTTTTTAGATTTCTTTATATAAAAAAAATATGACTTAACGGGAAGTTAAGCAATCTCATAAGGCCTGTATGATGGGCAGAGATTAAATAAACCTCTTCGAGGTTTTAAAGTATTATACCACTGCGTCTGAAGTCTTTTTTTTTATATTTTTATTTATAAATAAATAGGTCTTGACTACTAAGTTACCCAGATAGCACAAAGTCGTCTTAAAGACGTCTAGCATAAGACATTCGAGACGTCTGGTATTTCCTGAAAGACGTCTGATGTTACAAAAAGCGACGTCTTTAAGACGTCTTATTAATGGCTTATATTGGTCTGTAGAGCTTAAAATAAGCCATAAATAAGGCGTCTTTAAGACGACATATTAATAATGTAATGGTCTTGTGAAGCTTTAAATAAGCCATAAATAAGACGTCTCATAAATGGCTTATGATAGTCTTGTGAAGCTTTAAAGAAGCCATAAATAAGACGACTTATTAATAGCTTATAATGGTCTGGTGAAGCCATAAATTATACGTCTTTAAGATGTTTTATTAGTGGCTTATAATGGTCTGGTTAAACTTATAAGCCAGAAATAACAGTTCATTATTTTTATTCTGCTAATTCTATAACCTGTTTATAATAATATAAAATAATTTAAAAATGGGTATCATCGTGCATCTTGGTTATTAAAATTAGTAGAATAACCTTACAGGTTATAAAGAATGCAAAAAATAGAATTAAAAATATTTATTGATAAAATATCTATTAATCACAGGTCACTAAGAGTTATTTTCTTTATAGCGCATTCAATCACTCCTCTTTAGACATAACTGAATTGATTTTTCTCTTTCTTTTTGATTTTAAGTTGCCTTTGTATAGTCGCTCCTAAAAAGAAATTTAGGTAAGAGCATTATAGTCACAGGAAGTTATACTTTGTAAAAGTAAGTAAAAACCTAAAGAACAATTATGAAACATTAAATCAATTTTTATAACAAATCATTTAAGACAAGATGAGCTATTATACTTAATCGCCTATTTTGACAATTTTACTTTAACTTCACTCAAAATGCCTATCTAACATGTGGCTTTTGATATCAATAGTTCTCGAAATCTCCATAAAAATAAAAAAAAGGAAATTGACGAATAACTGAATTAAATCTTATATTAAAATGTTTACTTTTTAATTCATTTAATTATTCTTATTTAGAAGAAACAGGATATTAATGTTCTGTGTATATAAACAAATATTCATTTATTACCTGTAGAAAGTATTTCAGGAACGTGATAACATCGGTAACAGAAATTCCACTATTCTTCCTTCTCTGGTTTTAGTCCCATATTATTTAAGTAAAAAGGGACCAAACACAAATGCACAAAGTAGCCCAAACACTTTTGGCGGCTATAATCGCGTACGCAATAGAATAATCAAAATTCACAACAAGCTTGGGCTTGAATGTAGTGTTAAGTCAAACGTCATCATTCATTCATTCATTTCAAAATCCTTTATTTACATTATAGGCGAGTTCGGATAGTCAGGGGCAGGGGTAGTATTCTCGAATCACGAATACCGACATTCGCATACGTGTTTTACAATGTGTCTCACTTTGTTGAACGAAAACCAAGTGAGACAAATCATAAATCTCGCATGCGAATCTATATTCGTGACTCGAGAATACTACCCCTGGAGCGGGACAAATTTTAGGGTGCTTTTAAATGACATTTAAGCGTATTAAACTGTCACTAATCGGACTAAACCGAACGCTAAAAGGGTCGTTTGGAGTTAAAAGTGTTAAAGGAGTTAAAGGAACTTGGCAGACCGAACGCAATGTATGTACAGTTGTTAAGTCAAACGTCAAACCACTTCATTTGATTCTTCTTTTAAATTTGAATTAAGTTTCCGTCCAACTGAAAGACGTTTTTAAGACGTCTTTGAGCTTTCACATTAATATATGGATTTGGAAAGACGTCTTTAAGACGACTTAAAAACGTCTTTGAGCTCTCACATTAATACTTCTGAATTATGGATTTTGACAGTCTTATAAGACGTCTTAATAACGTCCTAGGACATTGAGACCAAACCAAGACACAAAAAAGACGTCATGTTCTATCTGGGTAAGCAATTAACTTCTTCCAATTTGGGGAGAATTAATAGTTTATTGAGTTTCAACTTCGAAAGTTAAAGTTGTTGTAAAAATAGGCACAAATGTGCATATGTTGATTTATAATTTTTCTTTTATGATATATTGTGAAATTAATATTTTATGGCTTAAATTAAATATACTACTTAACATCTTGCACATATCCAAAATTTTTGTTGGAAAATTTTCCCCCACTGGAAGTTGCAGAGTACACTTGTTAGATTACAGTTCCATTAGGTTTTTATTTTCAATAAATTATAGTAAATCTACAAATTAAGATGTTTTTATATGTTCAAGGTGTAAATGATAATAAATATATGTTGAAAATTAAACTTATGCAATTTTCACTTGATAAAAGCTAAAATATACTTTGATTTTCACGATTGTACTCCTGTAGGTTAAAAATGAACTCATATTTTTGCCGTAAATACATTAGAGAAACTAGCGGATTTATACTCATACCCTGATTAATTTTATCCATTTTTTTTTCTTTTTTTTTTAGAGTTGAAACATCTTAGTTACACCATGGTGAAATCATAGCTTTCAATAAATATTGTGCACTGCTTTTTTTTGTGTATAAACTTAACCTATTTGTTCCGTAAAATAAATATAGTGGTGATTCGTTTCCAAAACTGCTTGCTCGCCTTTCTGTTCAGTTTTATGAGCGACATTTTGTCAGGCAAGCAGTTGTCGAAACTTGTCACTAAACGATGTCGATTTTCCCTATTAGGAACACACTGGACGCGTGTTTCGACTGCAGTTTGACGAATTCCAGATAGTCAGTAGTTCGCATGACGACACCATTCTCATCTGGGACTTTCTAAATTCCGTACCAGAGCCCAAACCCGCCTCGAAAACTAGCGAACCAAGATCTCCATCACGTAAGTAAAACATTCTTTTGATTAGTCGGTATTTAGTGAAAAAGTATGTAGTATTATACTAGTTTTCGCATTAGTGTAGAGCAACAAATCATCGTTTAATGTGTTTTGATTATGTGTTTATTCAACGGGACAATGTCTATAAAAAGTTAAAAATTATCCACAGATACATAATATAAATGTAATAATGAGAAATGATTAAAATTAAAAATACAATTAAACAAAAACAACATTCAAAATGCCTGGTTTGGATTTTTTGCTTTTATTTGAACAAATATGAAAATATATTCCTAAATCTCTGATTAAATTTACTTCTCATTTTTTATGTTATTCATACTGAACTTAATCTTATTCAAATCGATCCCTATATAATATGGATATCATTCTTGTCCTGTATTAAATTTTTTTATTATTTAACTCAAGATTTATATTCACATTAAAGATTTTTGCAGTTCCACCGATGCGAAACAGTGTATTGATGGTGGTGGCCTTCTTTGACAGATTCAAACTCTCCGAATTTGTTTAGTTTATCAAAATAAAGAAAAGCCAAATATAATCGTTCTTTCAAGTTGTATGCTGTAAAACTTAACAAAAAATGTATAAAGAAATGTTTTTTTTTTTAATTTAACGCTAGATTTTAAATAAATCGACTAATTTTCAGATGAAAAGGAGTCAAATTGAAATTTGAGTTTGGATTCTGCGAAAGAAGTTTTTGAATTTATTGTAATTTATCACTAAATGTAGTAGGTATGTTGAATGTGTTCGAAAAGGATTTATAGAAAAGTCTTACATTTTGACATATAATTTAAAATGTCGAAATAAATCCGTAAATAAATGATTTTTTAATTAGATTCCAGAGATTGTACATAGTAAATGAATTAAACTAGGTATCGTATTTTAAACTTTAAAGAAGAATTAATCATTATCGAAAGGTTCAAATTAAGAAAAATGTCTTAAAATTTTCGGATTGTACAATTCATATTTCTATTTTTATAAAATAATTAGCTTAGAAGTAAAATAGTTGTAATTAATACACAAGGTGAATTTTTTCAAGATTGGCGAAAAGATCTATGTGTTTGTATAAGTTTTAACAAACACTTTATCTATGTAGATTCAATATTTTCAGAGATATATACAGAGTGGGCCACTCAAAACTGTCCACCCTGTTATTTGGTAGTATACATTGGATTTTAAGGAAATGCTGACACTTTTTACAATACAGACATCTGTCATGTGTCTACCTACTCCTTTCCACCTTTTCAACCCCTTAATTTTAAATAAGGAATATACAAGGTGTAGCACATCATTAGGAAGGTATTGTGATGAACTATTTAGACATTCGATCATGTATGACTTTTTTTTGATATGAACTCCCATGTTTGTAAAAAAAATTAATTGGCTCTTGGGTTTCATTTTTTTTTTCAACACACTAAAATGAATTATGCAAAACAATAGAAAACTTTGTTTAATGTAACGTGGATAAAATTTACTAAATTAGACGAATTTATTATCCCATTAGTGATAATTTTATTAATGAATTAGATGTTAAAAATGTTCTCTATCGACTTCCATACAATTGTAAAGTCGCTGTTCGAAATTATGTCCAATATTTTGAAGCATTTCAGGGATTATTAGACTGCATTCATGCACTATTCGTCTTCTGAATTTTTCAAACGAAGCAGGTTCAGTCCTGCCCATATGTATCATTTCATAGGCAGCTGGGTATGTGTTTCGTGAAATACTATAAGATTTTCATCAGCATAATAATGGCAATTATATCAGTTTATTATACAATTTACAAAAAAGAAACATTCATCCTAAAAATTAATATTAAATAAAAAGTTTGCATTATCTATTTTTTCAGTCATAATTTAACAAAATTTTAGTCGCCTGTCTGGGTCATTTTCATTTATTTCTTGTACCAAATAGATCTTATTATTATTGTTAATAACAGGTAAGTGACATAGTCGATGAAGCTGCTCTTTTAGTTAGTGACAAAAATTAATTCTAAATTACTACACGTTAAACTTAATATACTTTAATCTAATGAATAAAATTATTTCTTCCTTATGCAAGTTCTTTATCACTCTCGCCTTGAACTGGTTTATGTTCTGGGCTGAGACTGTATGTTCCTGGAGACCATTCCACATATATACAGTTTTGTTTGTAATAAATTTTTTTCTTTGCAGTTTATTACACTTTTCTTTATATAATTTCTTCGAGTGCCCTCTCAAGGTTCTCGATGTGCTGGCCTGGAAGATATCACGGGTGTAATATCCGCTGGTCCACTTGTAAGTTTCTATCAAATCTCTTCTAGTTCTTCTATCCTTTAAAATTGAAAGTTTCAGTTTAGCTAGCCGATCACAATACTCATTGTTTTGTAAGGTTGGTGGTATTTTGGTGACTCTCCTTTGAGCTCTTTCCAGCAGTTCAATGTCTTTAACAAACGGTATGTGCACATTCTATCTCTGGTCTTATGTAAGTTGTTTACAGTTTCAGGATCATATCTTTCAAAATGGTCTTTAAAAGCTCTTTTGATAAAGCAAATAAAACTGTTGACTTTCTTCACTATATTAGCAATGAGGTATTCCCATTTTAAGTCTTTAGGTATGATTACACCAAGATCCTTTTGTGTTTCGACTGTAGTTATTGCGTCTATTTTTATGGTGTACTGCAGTGGTTCTCAAACTTTTTTGGTGACGGAACCTTTTTGAAAAGTGAAATATTTGACAGAGCCCTAAACACATTTCGGAAAAGTCCTCCTTGCTCTAGCTTCTTGCCGGTCCCACTCGTTTCTTAGCGAAGCCCCTACAAACAAAAATTCTCAAAATCATATACGCCTTTCTCTTCCTGAATTCTAAAAAAAAAGCTCATCAAACCAAATTCGTAAACTGTTTCCTCTACTTGGCTTCTAAAAAAAAGTCCTCCAACACAAAATACCGAAACCTGGCTTACCTCGCATACTCCCTCTAAAAAAACCAAGTCCCGTTATAGCGATACGTACGGCTTTTTTTGTGGAGCCCCCGCAAAGGCTTTGCGGAGCCCACTTTGAGAATCGCTGGTTAACTGCATGTGGGCTAATGTGCAATACTCTAGACTTATTTATGTTGAGGAGTAGTAGCCATTGCTGGGACCAGATTCCTATTTTATTTAAATCTTGTTTCATTTTTTAAGAGCTTTCCAGTGGTTTGCAGTAGATCTTTCCATCATCTGCATAATAGTTGGCTTTGTAAAAATAAAATACAGGGTGTTCCATTTAAAAAACATACATTTTTATTTGCCAGGCAAAAACCCAAAAATATTTTTAAAATATGTATTTGTCAAATCCATATAACTTTTATTTGAAACTTGTTTCCATGTTTATAACACAATTTAAAATATTGAACAATTACACACTAATGGAACACCCTGTATTAATGCACCTCCTCCTTTTTGATTTTTTCTGTAGCTTTGGAAGTGCGTATATCCTGGTAGTGTGTCTTACTGTTTATTATCGTTATTGACTTTGTTATAAAAATAATAGTTGTTTCTTGTTGGGTGACAACCAATTTGAATTCATCCAGCTAGGTAAATAGGGAATTAGTGTTTGTAAGGATGAAATTTATGTTCTTTTAGTACTCTACGAATAGTACTGGGTGAAAAGCTCGATTCTTCTGCCAAATTTCCTAAATTTGGTGTACGATCCGAATTAATATGTCCTAAAATTGCTAATTCTGCCGCTTCAGTACTAACTCGTTTTTCAAAGCTTTTTTATTAGCTACGGATCCAGTTTGACGAAATTTTTCCACTACCTCTAATTCGTATGAGTGATAAAGTTGATTTTCTACGAGAAGCTGATTAAATAAAATTGCTATTCTTAGCACTTTTCCCGTTTTCTGAAATAGATTAACTAGCACCACTGATAAACGTTACTAAATGTCTTAGTAACTACCTATTTAATACATTTTTGCAAAATTTGTTTTCTTGTTGTCATGAAAAAATTGAACCCATTAGCCATACATAGTAGAGGTGGGAAGTTCAAATCTTTTTACTGAATTAATTCATTTGATTCATTCACCTAAAAAGATTCGTTCTTAAAGATTCGTTCTCAAGTGATTCACTTTAGCGAACCACGAACGATGTTATTCCGCCGATCCGTCGAAGGAAATCAAACCGAACGTTTACGAATTTGAGAACTACCTATTTACTAGGTCGTCGAGTGCGTTCAGTCTGTAATGCGTAAGAAAGAATGTAATGATTTGAGTGGTGAGATGCTTAAGTAAAATAATTAATACCGGTTTTATTTTAATTTGATATTTTAAAGTATAGCGAATTAATATTTCATAAAAAGAAGACAGATGGGAATTTAAATACTATAATAGTAGGTTCATCCTTGTCCGTTAAGATAAACAACAGTAACACAATTTTTTTTAATGCTAAATATAGCCAAAACTAACGAAAAATTATAGATATATGATTCGTCATTTATTGCTTTACTTATTTACTTTGATTTAAATTTATTTATCAGACAACGCGCATAAATTGTTTACCTAAGTTTAATACACCTCTGGTAAAGTGAGAAAAACATTACAGACACATACCGCCACCGCCTGTAAGTTCGAGTTCTTGTATTATGCTGTAGAACGTTGAACAAAAGCGACCGATTTGCCGATGCTGATTTAAAATACCGAATCTTCGAATCAGATCCGAATGAACGAAACAACCAAACTCGGAATTGGGCGTTCTTGATCGATCACAGAGCCGTCGAACAATTGACTCAAAAAAGATTCGAATCTTTTAAAAACAGGGAATTAATTCATTCGAGTCAGTGCACTGATTCGTTCTTTTTGAACGAATCGTTCGCGAACGACACACCTCTAATACATAGGCGTTGCGTTTAATTTTATAGAGGTAATACACTTAAATTAAAACTTTTTTAGAAACATAAAGTTAATATCGAAAAAAAGTCAATGTTTAATTTGCTGGTAATTTTCCATTAAAGGAAATAGATATAGTGTAATGTGTTATTAATGCTCAAATGTGGGCGTGCCAAGTTTTCCTGGAATTTAAAAAACCGTTAGATTGTGTTTGTTGTTGCTATGTAGGCATAATTCATAAGGGGTGATTTACGTGGATTATAAATAGAGTAACAAGTATCTGTGAAGAAATGCTTGTCATTTTTGAACAATTATGTGCCTGAATAGTCCATCGCAATACCTTTCTAATGATATGCCACACATGGTCCATTCTCTATTTAAAATTAAGGGGTTGGAGAAGTGGAAGGGAGGGGGTTGACACATAACAAATATATGTATTGTAAAAATGTGTCCCCTTTGAAATAAAGATCGATTTGTTTCAGCATTTTCTTAAAATTCAATGAATACTGCCAAATAACAGGGTGGACTGTTTTGAGTGGCCCACTTTGTATAAATAATATCTCTTCATTTAACTTTAATAACAAATTCATCTTGTATAAAATATAGAATGGACTGAAAAGTTTGTAAGATAATTTGATTATAGATGGTTTATTTGAAAAAATATCAAGATGACAACTTCAAAATCAACTAACCTAATTTTTTTCTTTCTCTAAAAATATAAATACTCTAATAATTCGACTAGGAGTATAGATGCACTTATCATATCCTTTTACAAAATTTTTGTGTGTATCTTTCATTTTATTAATTAGTTCGCATTTCCTGCTTTTTTCTATATGCTTGCATTACTTCCATTGTCCTCAAGAATAATTTTAAGGTGTTTAACTTTGTTTGTCAATTTTAGCTGTTGTTCACACATTTTTGAATATTGTTGTTAAATGCTCCAATGACCTCAAGCGCTCTAAAACTGAAATGAACGTGAAACATATGGCATTAATTAGTTTAATTTTTTTTTTAAATTGAAGCGACACCTCTTCTACATAATTGTTTAAATGATAGTGCACACCTGATTTTTATTAGGATAGTTAGGGAATAATTACTAAGGAAATACAATTGCTTAGTGTTATCATCAAGCGAACTTTTTAGTCTATTTTCTTGTTTTGAATTTGAAATGTAATTTGAGTATTATTAGAATTGAATTTAGTTTAATGATTTTTTTTTTGTAAACCTACAAGGTCAAATATTAAAGCAGTGAAACTGGTTCAAAAGGTATCAAATCAATTCTGGTGAATAATGATGCCATTACACTGGTTGTTCCCTTCCCATTTCTACAATGACATTGCAGATCTCTGTACCAGCGTTACCAACAGTTAAAAAATTAAAATACCTAGGTGCAATCATAAACAGTAACAAATTCTACAAAAATATAATAACTTTCTGTAGATGATGAATAGCTGAGAGTTACGAAGTAAAGAGAGCTCGGTCGTTATAATTTTGGAATTGGCCTCAATATATTCTAATAGAGTTCGCTTTTGGGCCATATCCAGTTGCTTTTAAACTACCTCGTTCATGTTTATATCCTAACCTTAGTTATTCAGACCAATCGGCATTTACGAGTTATAAATATGACAGCTTACGACAAAAATGAAAATCACTTGCAAATAACAAAAGCATTTAGCATGCTTGTCGTTTTGGTAATCGAACTTTGTTGAGAAGTCTGCTGGCACTTTCGTTGCTATACGTCATGTATTTTGATCGAAACCAGTCTCATTACTTTTATTTTTCGATCTGTTAAGTAGTTTTAAAATAATTTTTTTAAAGCGAAGAAAAATAATTTTCATTGTGAGATTAAAAAAAGGACTATTATTTTTCTTCACCCGAAAAAACTCCACTCACACATGGTTACATCCAGTATAAATATTTCAAAATTGTTTCGTTTACAGCAGAATCATCTGTCAGTCCACAACCTGGAACGCCTCGCGGCAGGAGAGTAAATAAATTTAACATCCCAGAAGCTAGTCTCACATTTGACCTCTCACGCGACTAACCGGACAATATACATAGAAATATGTTAATTTTCAACAATGATCTGGGTAATTGATTTCTTATAAAATTGTAGATTGAACCAAACTTTGGACAAGAAAAATGTTTGTAAACAAGAAACGGGCTGCTTACACTGAATTGGGGGATTATATTTATTTAGAAATAGTTCATTAGATTGGCTCTAATTAGGTTACATATTTATTTCGATTTCGGGTTTTTCATTTTTTTGTACACGAGGTTTGCCCAAAAATTATTTTAGTATGTTAATTTAATTACGCTAGGAAAATTTGAAACGACTTGAAACTTCAAATAAATTTGTCTTACTTAAATTAGGAGTGCTTTCTAATATATACAGTGTGCCTACTTAAGTTGGAACCATATGGATTTTTTTTTATTATTTTAGGAAAAAAGTTATTTTTGATAAAAAGTCTTGCATGACCCAAAACTTATAAAACATTCATCAGATATCAAATTTTTCAAGATGTATATTAGGTTTGTCAAAAAATATGAATTTTGCTCAAGAGTAAAGTACGTTTATTTTTGACAAAATCGAAATTGTTCATTAAGAAAATTGCTAAATTCTTCACAAACGCCAAGAAAAGAAAAGCGTATCATGTTTATAGTAGAGAAGAGAGAGAAAAAATTATGGATTACCGTAATTAGGTAGATCAATGCAAAAACTAGAAAAAATCTGATTTTTCAGATAGATCGGTGTAATTGCAGATTTGAATGTAATTTTCAATTCTAATAAACTTAATTTGATTTTCTTTTTGCCCAAGTTTATCCCAGACAGAAGTGATAACACTTTTACCCAACTGACGAAGACCGGGGTTAAATTAAATTTTGGAAGGATCTAGAATTACACCCTCCTTGTCAAAATATTCTTTTATGTAGACCTTTTTTCTCAAGGGTGTCACATCTAGCAGACCACCCAGAAGCCTGAGTTTTAATTTTCAAAAAGTATGTAATGTAATCTGCAAAAAGACCCCCGATTTTGGTTTCAGGGTTGTTTTGTTCAGTCTGGTATTTCCAAACTTCATATATTTCTAAAATTTTGTAACCTTTCTCCAGGGCTTTCTTTACTTCATCTACAACCCATGTACCAATCAGTGCTAGCTCTTCTTCAACATGTTGACAGGAGTTAGGATTAAAAGTTTCTCCACAGGTTCTACATAAAACAAACATTAATTTGTTATTCATTTTCATTGGTAGAACAGGATGAAAAAGCTGTTGTACTTTACATTTAATTAATCCATCTTTTTCATCTAAATTTAATTTGGAGCATTCTTTACCAATAATCAATTAAGGATGTCCAATGGGATATCTTCCATACTTGTTAATGTATGGATAAAGACTACACACATCCATATAGTTATTTTGTTCTCCATCTAAACAGATGTAATACGTTTTGACATTTCCTGTACGACCTCCATAAAAAGCGTCACGAGGATTAAGAGGTAAATTTAGTAGAATAGGATGATTTTTTATATATAATTATAATCTCCCTGTTTTCTTTTATATGTCTACGAAAATCACATTCCCACATCTCAACAACTTCAAAGCCAAATCCTCTTAATCTATTGAGTTTTGCAACTATAGCTTCATGTCGTATGTTTAAGGTCTCAGAAGGATTATCATGAAGAGGGGCGTCTCTCTGATATTTCAGACATTTACAGCCGTGCCAGATACAGCCATGAAATTCAAAAATTTGGTTGGTTTCATTGCAGAAACCATCAACCTTTGCACCCGCAATCACATTCTCTCTACCCTTCGCAGCATGGTGAATATTGATACTACGACAGTTTTCCTCCCACAATAACGACTGAATACCAATTTGAGATTGGTTATCTCTCCACCTATAATGTTTAGGAATTATACCAATCATACCTTCTTTAAGGAAATTTCGACGAAAAATTTTATTACATGCAGATGGTAATGTACTACTCTCGGTAAAAGGGCAAATGCTTCCTTCATCCACCATTAACCATATTTCTTGGTGTTACCTCATAGACGCTACTCTCAAGTGGGCGGGGCCTTATGGTCGAAGTAGCTAATCAGATATGGCAATAATAATTTTTTTTTATATGGTTCCAACTTAAGTAGACACACTGTATATTGAAATTAATTACAAGTGAAAGCAGTTTTAGTAATGGTCGTCAAAATTTGAGTAAATAAAACGAAATATTTTAAATATAATTTGTAAACCTTTCTTCTGTCATTTTTATCATATTTTATTAGTTGGTCTCTCAAAACAACATCGTACACTTAATTCATTATTTTAGGCGTCCAGGATAGTCGAAATTAAGACTATTAGGTATCCCAGAGAAAAAACTGTCAGTGGGAAGCTTTGGTATGTCTAGAGCAGTGTTTCTCGAACTTTTTTGGCGACGGAACCTTTTTAAAAAGCGAAATATTTGACGGAGCCGTTAAACACATTTAAAAAAAAATTCCTCAAATTAGGTCCTCAAACTAGGTCCTCTAAACTAGGTCCTCTAAACTAGGTCCTCCAAACTAGGTCCTCCAAACCAGGTCCTCTTTCATAATACTGCTGTTTTTTTGATTATGACTATTATTTTCTTCGCGGAGCCCCCACAAAGACTTTGTGGAGCCCCAGGGCTCAGCAGAGCACACTTTGAGAAACACAGGTCTAGAGGGTTGCGACATATGATGTATTCTATTATTATAATACGTGAATTCATGAATAATGAATTAAATTAAAATATTTTATGTCGAACACAATGAAAATATTATATAAAAAAAAACGTTTATTCATTTTTATTTTCCTGTCTGTATACAGACAAGGAAAGTATAGGAATAATTATTTTTTAAAAATTGGCGGGCTTGGCGACTACAATTTTGAATAAAAATAGCGTCTAAGATGGAAGGCTATGTCGCAACCCCCTTAGATATACGAGTCCTTCCCACTGGCAGCTATTGTTTGACAGGTCGTTGGAATACTTAAACTTTCAGTGATGTAAACTTTAATACGTTTTAATGACAAGAATGAGAGATAAGTTCCATAATTCAAAACGGTGTTTTATTAAGCATATTAAGCATACATATGTGACATTTGGGAGACATATATGTTAACTTCAAAAAACGGACTTTTATTAATTCCACTAATATAAATATTTTTTTATGAATTTTCATTTGATCTATGTTAAGTCCAGCACTGCTAGTAAATCTCTTAGAGTTTGATAAAATATCGATAAGTCCACTCTATTAAATTTTATATTAAACATTTCTTTGTTTTTCCAATAATACAGTTATTGATCAATTGCACCCTGTATATGTGTTATTGGCTAACATGTTGGTATCGTTGGATAGGTACATTTATAAGGAATTTTATGATAAAATAATATACAGGGTGTTGCATTTGAAAAAATTAAGTAAATTGAACTTAAAATTGTCCATATTTAAGAAATGTTTCAAAACACTGTATAAAATATTCCAGTTCTATCACCACATTCGTTAGCTTACTTTAAACAATTTTTAAATCATTGTAAATCTACCTAAATTATGATAATTTAATTAGGGGCCTGCATTATTCTCTAATTCTATAATGTTTAAAAAAAATTCTAGGACTGAATACAGTAATACCAAACCATTCTAAAAGTGAAAAAAAAATGAAAGGTGTTCTATTTAAAAAATATCCATTTTTGTTTGCCAGGCAAAAATGCATCACCCAGTATGTCCTATTTTTAAAATATATATTTTTCAAATCCATATAACTTTTATTTGAAACTTGTTTGCGTGTCTATAACACAAATTGAAATATTGAACAATTATGCACTAATGGGAGGGACACCCTGTATACATACAAAATAATTTTGTTATATTTTGAGAAAAATACAAAAATAATTATATTTCATTTTCGAACATGTTCATCATTAATAGGGCTCTAGGTGTATTTTGATTATTCTTTGTACCTTATTGGGTATAAAATTTATTTTTATTTCATGTAACCGTTCTTTATTACTATACAGGGTGATAATTTAAAAACGATTGTATTTCGGTAGTATGAATTCAAAATCTAAAGAACTTTGGTGCCAATAGTTCTACCCTCAAAAGAAATTTAATTGTCACCCCGTATATACATACTTGGTGGTTCTTCTGGAGTTCTATTAAGAAGTTTCAGTTTTCAATTAATAAAATGACACTATCTTTCAGTATTATTTTAAATTTTATAAAGGATTGTATATACCGTCCCACGGTTATGTGGGACAAAAAGTGCAAATAACGAAATGGGAATCGACATGTCCTTAAACATTACAAATTTTATACATTTCTGAGAACTTGGTTTTGAGACAACTAACTGTTTCCAGATTTTCCTTCCACTCTGCATTTAATTTATAAACTAATAAAGAAGTTGAAACACTGAATTGAGATTCCATGTTTAGAATTGCTCCTTATAAGAACCCATCAAGAATCGCCATGTATACAGTCACAAATAATCGTAATTTAGTGTAATATATTTTTTTTTATTTGCAGCTTTTTCTTACGAGTGAATCTTCAAAAAACTTTGTTAACTATGGTTGTATAGACAAATGAATTTATATTTATTCGAGATAATGTTCAGGTGTGTCTCAAGGTGGGGCATCTATTTGAGAAAATATGATTGCAATACGTAAATCGGAATCGATAGAATGTGTGTGTATGTATATGAATAAAGCTGTTTGTCAAAACGCAAAAATGATGTACATATTTCTGTTGAAAATACCCCGATATATTTTGATTATTTTTTTATTCATACTACGAATCTTCGTTTTATTCAGGAATTTAAATTAAAGGGTTATAACACAAGGGACATTGCATGTACACAGATATTCATTAAAAAAACAACTTAAGAATTAATTTAGATCTAGTTCAAACTTATATTAAATTAGACGCGAAATCAGGAAAACGTTACAAAAGAAATATTATGTCATTTGAGTAATTTTGTTAACTACATTTATATCTTTTTTAATATAAACATAAAAATTTCAGATTATTTTTATTATGTATTCAATAATGTATAATTATTTGTAGGCTTATGTATATTTAAAATAATTTATTTTTTGAAACATTAAAACATTTTTTTTTAATTTTCATTGTTTTATTTGGTTGGTTCTTTATTTGGCACAAATTAAATGAAATGTACTTTTTTTTTAATTTTGTCAGTTTTATTCGTTTTTTTTTTTTTGAGTAAAAATGTTTTGTACATTATGAAATGATTGTAAACAATCTCTAAAACTAAAAAATATTTCATATAAGATACTAAAAGAATCCTTATTCAGGGACATTTTCATGTTGTGATAGGTATACAGCGTTCTGATTGGTCAGACATCGAAATTTTCCCAGTTCTGGTTACATTTTAACTACCTCCTTTGTAGGTTTGTTGAATTTGGAATATCCTTAGATTAAAGAGACCGAAGATGTAACATTGCACACTGCGCATGTTGTCTATTTTAAGCCAAAGTAACCCACCAATTGAAAATCATTGTTGCACGACGCCACCCGAATTGCTCCGATTTCCATTCAGCGATCACCTCCACCTGAGTTTAATCACCATTGACAGCTGTTTTTTGATTTATTTGTTGGTATTTTAGCAATTTAAAGTATTCTAGTTATTCAATTTCAAGTTCAAAATGTCACGATGTATCTTGAAAAATTGTATGTACTTATAATACAAGTACTACTGTTATGAATATATTCGTTTTCAGCGGTAAATATTTATTAACGTTTTGACATAAAGCGCCATGATTCTCTGGGCTGAATACTTCAGATCCGCATTAAGGGGTTTCAATAAATATTAAGCATCAGAAATCAGATTTCATATTACATAAATTTACAAAAGGGTAAAATTTTGAACATTTAAATTAAATAAATAGTAAATAGGCATTATTGCTAACGAAATTTTGTATTTAAAAAGTAGTTTTATAAGAATGTTTTCTAAAGGTAGTTTTTAGCCCTTTTTGGTAAAGGTAAAGAATCATAGTTGCTAGCTAAATTTTATTTTTATAAGGTATTTTTATATGGTATTTTTATAAGGTATTTTTATAAGAATATTAGATGAAATACAGGATGAGCTACTTAAAATTTCAAGGTTCATCTTATTTGCGGTCAAATCGAAAGTGACATTGAATTTTCAGTCTTAAAACAAAGTAATCTAGTATAAGCAAAAAAAATACTAAAGTTACAGGAGTTAGGTCCGATTCCACCGTTGTGTTAAACGGAGATTAAAATGACAGTGTTAATGTAAAAATGTCATTTTAAACTTCGTTTAACACAACGGTGAAATCGACCCTTAGTCACGTTAATAAAATGTTACATTACAAACCCCTAAACAACTCGAACATAATTTTCGTTTATTAAAAAAAATCAAAATTTAGCAATATTTATTTATTATACAAGCGAATGCGATTTCAAAGATAACTGGATCAAAAAATCCGAATCTCTAAATTTTGGAGCTAAATGCTCAGATAAAAGCAAGCGACCGATAGGGGTTACAAAAATAATCGATTTATCGATAATTCTGATATTTTTTAATGAAAATCGATTTATCCGCTGTTTTTAATAAATTATTTTCGTTTTTTTTTTAAGATAATGTATTAATCGATTTTAAAGGAAATACAAAAAAAGTAGATTTATTCAAAATAATCGATTTATCATTTAATCGGTTTTTTAATTATTTGATTATTTTCGATTTTTCAAAGATATATGAAAATAATCGATTGAATATAATCGGTTATTTTACATAATCGATATTTTGGTTATTTTTTTAAAATTATCGATTTATTGGATAATCAGCTTTTTAATAATCAATTATTTTCGATAATCGAATAATCAATTTAAAAGGAAATATGAAAAAAGGATTATTAGAAAATAATAGATAATTCGTTTTATTTTTTGGAAAATCGATTTATCATAGAATCGGCTTCTTAATTAATTGGTTATTTTCGATTAAGCAATTATTTTGGAATTATTGATTATTTTTGGTATTTCAAAGATAATCGAATTATCGATTTTAAAGGAAATACAATAAAAATAGATTATTGATAATAATCGATTGATCGAAAATAATCGATTATTTAAAATAATCGATCATTCTGTTTTTTTTTTTTAAATCGATTTGTCAGTTAATCGACTTTTTAATTAATCGAATATTTTTGAAATACAATAAAATAGATTATTGGTAATAATCGATTTATCATAGAATCGGCTTCTTAATTAATTGATTATTTTCGATTAGGCGATTATTTTGGAATTATCGATTATTTTCGGTATTTCAAAGATAATCGAATTAACGATTTTAAAGGAAATACAATAAAAATAGATTATTGATAATAATCGATTGATCTAAAATAATCGATCATTCTGTTTTTTTTTTAAATCGATTTACCAGTTAATCGACTTTTTAATTAATTGATTATTTTTGATTAATCGATTATTTTCGATTTTTCAAAGATTATCGAATAATCTGTTTCCATGGACGAAAAAAAATGGTTTATTTGAAAATAATCGATTATTTAAAATAAACGATAATTCTATTTATATTATATTTTGTAAACACTGATTTATCGGTTAATTGGCTTTTTAATTAATCGATTATTTTTGATTTTTCAAAGATAATCAAGTAGTCGATTTTAAAGGAAATGACAAAAAATATATTGTTTGAAAATAATCTATTGATCGAAAATAATCGATTATTTTCAATTATCGATAATTTATTTCGATAATCACTCATCCCTAGCGACCAAATGACTTTTAATAGATTTAAATTTTAAAATGTTATCTGGTTTCGGACATATGCATTTCTAGAGTTTTATGTGACTCATCCTTTATAATAATTAATATTCTTAAAGAAAGAAGCCTTAATATACTTTTTCTGAGGTTACAATACAAAACAGCATTTTCTCATTTTGACTAATTTTTAATAATATGTAATAGCCGTAGAAAAAATATAATGTTCAACTCATAAGGGTAGATTTGCAGTATTAGCCTGCGCACATGCTATTTTTATAATACTCGTAGACAATGAGTAACATTTTTTGCTCTATTAACAATATATTCTATTTCAACATTTTACTGTAATCTCTTGCAGAATTGTCCGTAGTAAATAAACGCTAACGAAATATACTATAAAAGGTCTTCTCTTTACATAAAATGTCGTGGCATCTGTTTGATATTAAAAAATCACGATAATTTGATTTCATAATACAAAATTCGATTAAACACCTTTTAAATAAACCTAATAGTTCATTACGATGCTAATAAACAAAGTCCGGTCCCTGTCACAGAGTTCGGGTCGCCGCGTGTCGCCGCCCAGTTCCCACACTCCGTTAACCCTTCTTTAGAAATTGGCAACATTTGCGCAGGTTTAAAACCGGTGTATGTTATATCTCTGGTCTCTTTTATCTAAGGGAATATCCAATAATGGCAGATACAGATAGTGCTGATTTATGTTAAGCAAAAGTAATTTATAAAGATAATATATAGTTGAATAAATTATAATTAAAAAATATCAATTATGTTTCATAATTACATAGATTTTCTGAATGAAATTTAGATTAGTCTGACTAAAAGGCCTGATTTATCTTGAACGTTGTTTAAGCGACTGTCACAAAAAATGATATGTTACGGATTTATTATCCTTCCTAAAATGTCACTTTTTTTTGACTGCATTTACTTTACGGTCGCTTTAAAGTGTCACTTTTTTTTTACGGCCACAGGTTTATCATAATTATCATTAGGAATACTGTACTAATTTTATTATTTAACAATGGATTTTTATTCGATCAATAAAAATTTAAAATAATTCTTGCATTTAAGTCTATTTTCAAAAACAAAAAAATAGTGGCTCTACTTGTTAAGACAGTCGCTTAAAAAATGTTGTGTGCACCTCGACCGTATGATCTTTTTTGGCCTAACCAGAAGATCAATTTTACGGCCTTGGTACACAAATAACTATTTTAAAAAGCGAATCCAAACTAAATCTTTGAAAGAGAGAAAATAAGTTTGTGTAGGATATACAACTGTACAAAATAATACTCGTTCTTATTCAATAGTGGCCTTATTTAAATAAGTTATATCATCTCTCAACTCGACCATTTCACACTAAATAACCCTTAATGAAATTTGAAAAAGGGACTTAAAATGTGATTCACAAAATGGTCTTCCATCTTGAGACACACTTCATAGCAAATTATGCATCCTGTGGATGTAGCTTAACAAAAAAAAAATGTTTGGAAGCCTCATACTACCAACATGCGAAAATACTGTTTTTTCGACATCTTTGCTGAGGCTTGCAGTTTAATTAAAGCATCAATTCATGTATGTATTTATTTGTCTAAGAGTTAGTGGATTATTTTCTAGTTGAAACACTTCAACTGTAAAAAAGCTTTTCAAATACAGCTACACTACAAATAAGTATTAAAATGCCCTTGAAAATAATTCACAAAGTTCTTGGCAGATGTGTTTTTCGTTTTCTTTTCTGTTATGTATGCCTGCACTTTATGAATAGTATGAAAGAAAATATTGTTTACGCTGCACATATAACTTTTAAATTAGGACGCAAAATCATTCTAAATTTTTCTGAATGGATCAGTACGACTTTTGATTGTATTTAGTAATTTTTTGTTGTATTTTTCAGTATTAATGAAGCTTTATACAACTGAATTGTTCCTAATTGGTATTTTAAATAAGTCAACAATTAAATATCATTAATGACGGGATAATCATATAAAAATATTGTTCATGAGCTTCAGCGATTTTTAGAATGATAAGTGTAGATGCGCTAAGTGACTACTGATGCCAGAATATGGAATATAGAGATACATATTTAGGTAAACGTAAATGGATTTCACAAAACAGGTTAGGGAGCTCCTATAAATACCTTTTATCTGAAATACGTACAAGAAGCTTAAATTAGAGCTGCAAGAATAAGCTGCTTGTCGATAGCTGGGGAATGTGACATTCTCTTTTAATAAATTTCATATCCTATTTGCTATTTTCATAGCAATTCATCTTATAAGTGCCCACAGACTAGCATACATATGAATTATTGATGTTTGTCATACATGCTTGACGTACATGAATGACAGTA